GCACCCCCACACGGCCGTTTTGGACGCCCCTCGGTTTGCCAGATATGAGACCAGTTATCAAGGCTAGTCAAGGCTCCGACCTCACCACTCCTCGCAGTTTTCATCTCTGCGTGAAGTTACAATCCAACTGAGGTCTAAAAGAACACAAGCATTAGCTTCACTATAAACTTCTTAAAACACAGATAGGAAAGTTTAAATCAAAAGAGAAGAAGCGACTCGCAATATGCACAGCAGACAGAAAACTCTTTATGGCGTCCCACAAGGCTCTATAACGATGCCTCTTAACTCCATATCCTACCGGAGTCATTGGGGCTTTCTGAGGGTTTGTTTATTTCACCTGAACGTTCCGATGTTTGAATATTTGTGAATTAGGATGCTGCTGAACAAATCTCAACACTCTCGTCTCTCGTCGTTCTATGAAACAGAGAAGAACTTTAGAAGAATGCAGTGAAGAATGTTCACTAATATATCGCATACATGGAAAAATTCGAAAATGCCAGAGAAGAGAAATAGATGACCTTCATGCTGAGCGTGCTTTAACCTCCTCTGACTGTACATCACCTGTTGAAGATGAAACATCTCTAATATTTATCTCTTTGCCCATCTGGCTCCACCGGTCTCAGCAAGGTCATCATGTGTGAGCAGAATCTATCACGCCGACCAGCCCTGCAGACTTTCTTCTCTGAGGCAGAGAATAAGTCAAGCAGAGATATTTCAGTCAGAGTGAGACCTCTCCTCTACAGGATCAGCCTGAGGAGCAGCTTTAAACAGAGAGAGTGTCATATGTGTGCACTTAGGACACTACAGCCCACTATTGATTATCTCTGGAGGCCTGTGAGAGCTGTTACACACACGCACACACACACACCCACACCCACACGCACACACACACAAGCTAGCACACACGTTGGATGTGATTGGAAGCAGAGTAGCTGCATCGCTGATATTAATTATGATTCTACATCAACGCTGGAAGGAATCTATTGTTATTGCTTTTGTGTGTGTGTGTGTGTGTGTGTGTGTGTGTGTGTGTGTGTGTGTGTGTGTGTGTGTGTGTGTGTGTGTGTGTGTGTGTGTGTGTGTTGTGTGTGTGTGTGTGTGTGTGTGTGTGTGTGTGTGTGTGTGTAATGGGGTGGTGTAGGTCAGAGGAAGAAGGAGGGCAGGGAGGAAGAATGATGACTTTTAATCTCAGGGGACAAACGTTTGCAGTTCCTCGACAGCCTCCTTCGAAACACACACACACCCGACTGTCACTTCTACACACACGCACACACAGACACACACACACATACACAGACACAGACACACACACACAGACACACACACACAAACACACACACACACACACACACACACACACACACACACACACACACACACACACACACACACACACACACATATACACCATATTTCTCATTTTAATTCATATCTACAGCATGCAGTCAGAGGAAATGACTGATGGAAATCCAGATGTGTTGAATATCCACAGACACACACACACTCCTGCAAGAGTGTTTTCAGATATTGTCCGAAATATTTCTGCATCATTTTTATCCGTTTTACGTCCTCGTAGATTTGTGTGTGTCCCTGATTTAACGGCGCTCTCCCCCCGACATGACCTGACACCGGCTGAGATACTCCCCTGGTAGTAATCCCAGCAAGGTACTAACTGTCTGTGTTTACTGTGATAAACTTTCATGTCAGCTGTAAATCTTTCTCTCCTTTGCAGGCCCGAACTGACAGAGGTCCCAGATGTTATGGCCTCGAGCTATGTGTCAGGTTGTCGTTCAGACGATGTTTTATAGAAGCTTATACGTTTAGCTGCAGTTGCTATAGTTGTTACATTTTGATATTCTGCACATTTTGTATCTCGTCTTCTTCACTTGTATTATTATTAAATCTTATCTGCTCTGCAGATGTTGTACATGTGTTCATTTTATTATGTACTGATTTGGATATTTTAATGAAGCAGCGACCTCCAGTGTTGATAAATGAAGTCGATGCTGAAGTGTAAAATCCTGCAGTTCCTCGAGTGTCCACTAGAGGCTGGCTGCAGAAGCACAGGAAGTCACATACACACCCATTCTAAAAGCCTGTTTTTACAGCAGAGATTAACATGTTTACAGCCTAGTTCAAAAAACCAAATAGGTCTGATTAGCTCATGTCTCGATCGACACACACTGTACGGGGGGTGAATGTTTTGATGACTCATCCGTTTTGATTTGATGAAGATAAGAGTTATTCACAATAAGGCGTGTAGCTGACCTGATTGACAGGTGGGCGCGGTGTAACGGTTTGTCTGGAGGCTTAAAACCCGCCTCAGCTTCACCTCTTTTACTCTTTTACTATGTTGACCGAAACTAAAGAGTCAGCATTTTCATCATGGCAACGACCAAACGTCAAAATTCCCCCTCAGTAACCAATGGGTGACGTCACTGAGACAACGTCCATGTTTGTTACTGTGTATGATTTTAATCAATCCTGATATTGTTGAGATTAATAAACTTTAACTGTATAACTTTGTACATATATATAAGTCTTTGGGCCTGATTTACTAAAGGTTTGCATGTGTTCAAACGTGTATTAACTTGATGTCAACGGCGTGCACTGAGGATTGCATCTTTCCTATGTGGAAGACACCAGGCATTCTGACACCGTGCTTTACAATCCAAGTCTGCAGCACATGTAGCAGAACATCACAGCTGAGCAGAGGATGTCTGCATTCGACCTCGTTGACAGTGTTTCATAATGTAAACAAAGCAGTTTTCTGCAGACCTCTGCCGAGTCATGTCAGAGCAACATTCATGTTGAAAGAATCTTCTTTCATTCAAAGTCAAGAATTCACGTAGCTCTGTTCAGAGCGCCGCTTCAAGCCGCTAAATTTACGCTCCTGGGACGTTTCTCCTTCAATCTGAAGGTCATGGAGGCGTAGTGTGGGGATGAAGTGACCCCCCCCCCTCTGTACCGTCTTCAGAGGCATTACAGAGGTGAGGCGGGATCAGTTGATCCAGCGGGGGAGAACAGCTCTGTGTGTGTGTGTGTTCATGTCTGTGTGTGTGTGAGCTCCCGCTGTCACGTGCTTCTGCAACACCGTAACACAATGTGACCTCACAGACTGGAACGCCGATATTACGCCATCGCAGAATCAATATGACATTTCACATTTCAGATTAATCATCGTGAATAAAAGCAATAGCTCGGGATGCAGCGAGAGAAATGAAGCAGACGTAATCACCTTTTATCATCGGCATACTGAGGAAGACGCATTTTTCATTTGTTTTCTTGATGATGTCCCTTCTGATGTTTCGATATATCTTCGTCTTAATCATGAGTCACGTGTGTGGTTCTGTTCTGAAACTCAACATTTGATAAGAAAACAATGATGTGAAACCAAACCATGTGTCAGAGACGTCCACTATGAATGGCCACCTGTGAGCGCCGTGCAGAACATCAAGATCAAGTTTCCTCCGGGGTCATTTTCACGCTCAGGGCTCTGTCCTCGTGGTGGAAATATCAAGTAAATCTTTCAGAGAGAAGCAGGCAAGTTAGACACAAAAATTGCAAAGACAGCCTCTTGAGAAACATTTCACAATTTGTTCAAATGTGAGCTCTCTGCTCTCGATGATTTCTAATCAGAGTGTGAATGTGGATTCGCTTCCCTTTGTGTGATATCTGTGTGTGTGTGTGTGTGTGTGTGTGTGTGTGTGTGTGTGTGTGATATCTGTGTGTGTGTGATATCTGTGTGTGTGTGTGTGATAACTGTGTGTGATATCTGTGTGTGTGTGATATCTGTGTGTGTGTGTGATAACTGTGTGTGTGATATCTGTGTGTGTGATATCTGTGTGTGTGTGATATCTGTGTGTGTATGATATCTGTGTGTGTGATATCTGTGTTGTGTGATATCTGTGTGTGTGATATCTGTGTGTGTATGATATCTGTGTGTGTGATATCTGTTGTGTGATATCTGTGTGTGTGTGATATCTGTGTGTGTGTGATATCTGTGTGTGTGTGATAACTGTGTGTGTGATATCTGTGTGTGTGTGATAACTGTGTGTGTGATAACTGGGTGTGTGATAACTGGGTGTGTGATATGGGATCTGATTGATTGTTATCTCTGTGACGTTCAGTTGATCATGTTTCTGTCGATGAGTGTTAAACAGCGGAATGACTCGTCTGATTCAGAGCTGGAAACAAAGACTCGTTATTAAACACAAATGTCAGGAGCATGAATCAGTGTGTGGACAGAAACACTTGTGTAACACCTCAGAGAAGATTTGTCCAAATAGGAAAGGTCACAGTGACGTCATCAGAGGGTTTTATAAATTTGATATGTGATGTTAAAAAGATTCAGGTGCTCCTCTTATGGTCCAATTTTACGAGTCGGGAAGTCGTTCTTTCGACTTCAGTGTGTCAACATGTTTTCAGTTCAGAAAGTCTGATTGATGCTTAACTTTTAGGGCTTTCACACTTGCACTTCTGGACCTGTGAGGACTTCAAACCCGCTTTTATTTCAGACAGAAATAAACTGTTTAAAAAGTCTGAAGAGGATTCTCTCTGTTTTATTGTCTTCTTCTTGTGATGGAGAGTTCATGGCTTGGAAAATTAAATCTATATAAAAGCTCAGGATTTTTTTCAGACTGTTCCCAGCGGCTGCGTCCTCTTTGTTTGTTTGTTTTGAGGCCATGTGAGCTGCATTCTGCAGAAATGTGCTGCGTTAAACACGGTGAAATAATAATAACGATCAGAACGTGTTCTGTGCATTATAACCACAGGTGTGTGTGTGTGTGTGTGTGTGTGTGTGTGTGTGTGTGTGTGTGTGTGTGTGTGTGTGTGTGTGTGTGTGTGTGTGTGTGTGTGTGTGAGGGGGTGTGTGTAAGGGGTGTATCAGGTGGGTGAAGGGGGTGCAGCCTACAAAATGAGCGCGTGAGCTTCGGGAGCAGCAGATGAGAGAGGCGCTCTGAACGCGCCGCGATAATTAGCCGCGGACACACACACACACACACACACACACACACACACACACACTACTGGGAGGGAAATAACAGGATTATGGGGATCTGAGGCGCAGACGGATCCGGTGTCACACGAGGAGAGGGATTAGGATCTCCGCGTTCGGTCCTCCGCGCGCCGTGATGGGGATAGACCGGCGGCGGAGAGCGTCGCTGGCTCTCACCTTGAACTTCCTCGCGCTCTTTCTGGCCGTGTCGGCTCTCACCACGAGCTACTGGTGCGACGGCACGCGGAAGGTGGTGAAGCCGCTGTGCACCGGGCCGGTCATCGCCAAGCAGTCGTTCTGCATCCGGTTCAACAGCTCCAACATGAACGACACGCGGCTCGTGCAGTACATCTGGGAGACCGGAGAGGACAAGTACGTGATGAGGAAGTTTCACACCGGGATCTGGTTCTCCTGCGAGCAGAACATCAATATGTCCGGTAAGTTTACGCGGGGAGGCACCGGGGAGCGCAGCGCAGCCAGGCGCGCGGGCTGAGCGCGCGGAGAGCTGCGTCACAGAGAGGCATGTCGATCCAGTAACCCATAAAGATAAAATACTGTATATCTACATGTAAACAAAGTCACCCAGATTACACTCAGACTGGATCTCTGGATTAATGAGATGAATAAAAACAAAACCAGAGAATGTCTCGTCATCTGCTCAGCGTGTGGAATAAAAATAAAGATCTTCATGTGGTCGTAGAGAGGATTCTTTAGGACTTTTCTTAAGTGAGCTGAGGATGAGATGTTCATAAAGGAGGTCAGGGAACATAACATCTAGAATGTGCATATTCTACTGAATATCAATCCTACAGCTCCAAAGACAAAACATTTCCATGAAAAGAAAAACATTTCAGCTTTGAGGATCTGAAACCAGATTTGTTCAGAGATCGAAAATTAAAAAGACTAAAAAAGATCACAGACTTGATGATAAACTGTCAATTCATTTATCCTTATAGTTCAAAAACTATACAGACATTATGGAGAAAACGGACTGGACACTAAAAAATGTGAATCTAAGCACTTCAATTTATCTTGTTTCCTGTCAAAAATGATCAATACATCTGTTTTTCTCCACATTCACCTGACAGGTAAACATCTTCAGTCAACATTTAAAAAGCAAAGAAAGCAGTGGAGACTGTAAACATGGACTTGTTGAGTGTCTTTAAATGATGTAATATCATGTACACCTGCTTAGATGAGAGTGTTTGCAGTGCAGGGTTAACCATAAAATGTGTTTAATGGTCAGCTGAGCACCGTGTTCCCCCAGCTGAGAATCAGGTAATGTGTGTGTGTGTGTGTGTGTGTGTGTGTGTGTGTGTGTGTGTGTGTGTGTGTGTGTGTGTGTGTGTGTACAGACTGCGTTCAAACATTTGTTCTGAATATTTGTCTGCCTCTGACCCAGGCTGCAGATTCTCTCATGGTTTGGTTTGGGGTGGGGGGGGTCTGTTGTTCAAACACTCTCGGCACAGATTGGGTCGATGCAGCTCTTCTGTTTGTCAGATATGAATCTGTGTCAGAGAGTGAAACAGTGTGTGACTCTTTTTATCCGCCTGTTACAGAAGTAAACATGAAACATTCTGCGTTTGATTAAAATGTCCTTTTTTCTGTCTCTTCCAGGGGAGAATTGCAGAAGTTTCATTTACGTCGCTCCTGAAAACGAGAGAGGTGAGCGTGCATGTTAAATAAAAGTCTTGTGTTATATTTATATCCTCATTATTTAAACGTATTTCATGACTGCAGGATGCTGCTGTTTATCTGAGTTCTACTTTTTATTCTACCTCTGTGTTCGTTGTTTTTGCACCAAATCATCTTTTATTTCTCGGGTCTTTTACCTTTATGTCTTATATAGGACAGTGGATAGAGTAACTCCACATTTCTACATACTCTGTGCACACCGCAGTCCATCCTCATTGTTCACCACGCTGCCGTTCACCACGCTGCCGTTCACCACGCTGCCGTTCACCACGCTGCCGTTCACTGCCACTTTAGTCAACGCTCCTGTTTCCACAGAGAGCGCTGCAGTCGGTCTCCAAAGAATGCCAGCAGCGCCACATACGCTTTTCTCTGTTTCAAATACGCTGCTAGTCTATTTTCTACGGCGACAGCTGCAAGCACGCGTCAAACTGAAGAGAATAGATAGACCCAGACAGGAAGTTAGACAAGGGAACGCAGAGAGTGTCCGGTCAATTTAAAAATAAAACACATACAGACTCCTGATCGTATATTCATCACTTTATCAACATTACGTGAAAAGACACCAAATGAACAACAAATCATCCTCAGAAAGACAAAGAAACATGTTGTTTACACGTTTTTCTATTTATTCCCGCGTGATCTTGTAGTTCTCCTGTGATCTTGTAGTTCTCCTGAGATCTTGTAGTTCTCATGTGATCTTGAGTTCTCCTGAGATCTTGAAGCTTCTCCTGTGATCTTGTAGTTCTCCTGAGATCTTGAAGTTCTCCTGTGATCTTGTAGTTCTCTTGATTTGTAGTTCTCTTGTGATCTTGTAGTTCTCTTGAGATCTTGTAGTTCTCCTGTGATCTTGTAGTTCTCCTGTGATCTTGTAGTTCTCCTGTGATCTTGTAGTTCTCCTGAGATCTTGTAGTTCTCCTGTGCTGTGTGTACAGTTGCTCATGGCTGCGGTCACGTTCCAGAAATGAAGCGAGTGGGGCAGGGGACGCGCCGTCCGACTGAACAAAACTGTGGCGCTGACAGAACGCAGCGTGCACAAAGGAAATTGGGAGTCAGAACTCAGGGAGAGAGAGAGCGAGTGGGGAATGACATGCGGGAGAGGAGCAGCAGGCTGGACTTGAACCCAGGTAGCCTGCTTGGAGGTTTACAGTCTCCGTACATGGGGTGCGACCTTACTGGTACCAGGTTTATTGCATGATGGTTCAGTGGTTAGTGCTGTCCCCTCACAGTGAGGAGGTTCCTGGTTTGAATCCCTGTCTGTCAGGAGTCTCTCTGTGCGGAGTTTGCATGTTCTTCCTCCCACAGTCCAAAGACATGCTCGTTAGGTTAACTGCTGACTCTAAATTGCCTGTAGGTGTGAATGTGGCTGGTTGTCTGTCTCTATATGTCAGCAATGTGATTGGCTGGTGACCAGTCCAAGGTGTAACCCGCCTCTCACCCAATGACAGCTGGGATCAGCTCCAGCTCCCGGCGACCCTGCACAGGAGAAGCGGTAAAGATAAAGGATGGAAAAAGTGATCTTAATATATTAAAATACAATAACAAATGTTCAGTCTGCGGTGAATAAAATTAGTTGTAAGGTTTGTGCAGACATGTGAACGATGCTGCAGAGACAGTGAGCAGAGAAATTAAGTCTGATGATTCCTTTTTTTAAAGGTGCAGATATTAAATCGTTGGTAAAGTCCCGTATAAATCCTGTCTGATCAGGTCGTTTCCTGTTTCCTCCTCCAGGAGTCATGACACCTTAACTCTCTGTTTACATAATTCTCTTCTTCATCTTTGGGATTGAAGTGGACGCTTTAGAGAAAATCTTTTTAGGTGTGTTTGTGTGTTTGTGAAGAAATGTTGGCACCGCTCTGAACAGTTGTGAGAACATCTGTCGGCCTCGGAGCGCCGCACGCTTTCTGTTTTTCATTTTTAAGCTAACGTGGATCGGCATCCGTCCGTTATTAAAGTCCAACTATCATGTTGCTCCGAGGTATTAGCTCCTCTAACAGATAAATAATCCTCTTTCTATGTAATGGAATCAAGGCGACAACTTAATCCCCCAGCAGGAGCTGTTGTTTGGCTGGATTATCAGATCAGTGACTCTGTTAGGTAACAAGACGAGTTCCAGTTCAACACATCGCTGCTGCTGCTGCAGCCTCTGCCACACCCTGCTCTCCATGTTGGTCCCACAGGTATCTACACCTGCTGCATCAAACTGGACTCCGCCTGACCTTTGGGTTGTTAATGATCGTGATCCAAAAGGTTTCTCAGCCAGCTTTGTGAACGCCTCTTCACATTGAGCTCGTTTACCTTGATCTCTTTGTTTTGCTAACAGGACTAATGAGACCGTCAAATCCGACTTTTAATGAGTTCACAGATCGTGATGTTTTGTAGTGCAGGTCGACAGGTGACACGTTTGGTGAAGGAATGTGTTTGTAACAAATTGAAATCTGAAATAAAACCTGATTTATACTTCAGCGTAGGGCTGGGAAATTAATTGAAAATGAATCGAAACCGACATTCAGAACCTCTAACCGACGTAATCTTACCAGTGTTGGTTATTTTCAGGGAGAGTCGCATGACGACACGTTCAATCCGATCCATGGCAGCAACGTCCGTCGTTTGGACACATTTTGTCTTTAGGGAAGACGACACCAAACAAAAAGAAGTCAAATGTAAACACTGCAGAAAAACTGTTTGCAAGAAATGCAAGTTATTTATTTTTCTACTGTTTTAGAGAAGTTCATTTCTACTTTTAAACTGAAATGTGTCGTTTTCATTTAAAGCTTTGATTTCAGTTCAATAAATAACCTCAAAACAGTTCATCAGATATTAACCCATATCCCAGCTTTAATAGTTGAGCATGTTTACAGTGAACTATGATGGCAAAAAACAGAAACTGAAGAATCCTTCATTAATCGTAATCGAGGTTAAAGGTTTAATTCATCGTGATGTTGATTTTAGGTCGTATCGTCCAGCCCTACCTCAGCGTCACATCAAGGCCGTACGTTCATTCAGAGAAGTCTACGTATGTATCCTTATGTGCACCTTCTCATAAATGTATCTACATGTCCAAAACGACGCAGACTACAAGCCCTGTGATTGGTCCGCTAGGTAGCATCGTTTCAGCTACAGATACATTCATGTTCTCTGGTTTGAGATTAATGGCTGAGGACGAGGAATTAAATCTTCAAGTGTACTCACTGACATCCGAAAATATCTGAAGTGCATTTCCTCGTCCGTGTCTCTCAGCAGCCAAACAAGCGCAGATAACTCCCCGTCCTCTTCCTCGCCTGAGTCAGCGCCTGTTCATCCATTTACTCCGACGTCTCCTCTCTCTTCTTTATATTCTTCGAACTTCAATAGTTGCAGAATAATAAACCGCTGCTCAGAATTTATCATCTCCATCTCCAACATAAAACACTCAGTTTCAGTCGCCATGGAAACCGTTGATACAACATGCACAAAGAGAAAAGTAGTGTGGGCACATCCGAGGTAACTGCATATGGGTGCCGGAATTTTTTTTTAATTAACTGCAGAAAAAGAGAGAAAGGTCGGCACGCTGTTCAGATCTAAACGATTCGATCCAAAAAGATCCTCTTCAGGTGAATGTGTCAGGAGACAAACCGTCTGTTCTAAGGTGAAGCAATCAGCAAAAACATCCTGATCACCTGCTGAACCCAAAAAACAGAAACAATAAATATGACTACCACAAGAGGGCGACAGATTCCTCAGGAAGCTGAAAAAACTTAAAATACACAAGTTAAAAAACGTCTCTGTAGTTGACGATGTTGCACAAATATTTAAAACATTTGATATAACATGAATAAAGATCTCAAAGTTTGAAGACGGAGAGCAGAGCTACGCCGACACACCAAAGCACAAGTATGAGGAGGTCATGACGGTGTAGACTCGACACAGAAGTATCAACCAGGCTTTACAAAGTACAGAGACAGAGCAGCACTTTTTATGTAGATGAGGAAAAACAGAAATAAAAAACATTTGAAACACCTGATTAGCTCAGTTCTTGTTCCAGCTGTGGAAACAACAATCACTACGAGCAGAACAGCAGAGAGCCAACGCTCTGGAAACACCTGAGCTATGGGCGGACGCTTGAAGGTCTGAAAGCAGGCGACTCATCTGAGCGCAGCACAGCGGGAACTGGATCTGGATGAAAGATCTGTTCACAACAGAGGGAGAGAGACGACATCCTGGATAACATTCACAGCCTCTCTCATTTCTGTTAAGAAGAAAACTCTGAACGTTCTGAACTGCTGCCTCTTTAAACGTCCTCTAATATCAGTATTTCATCTCCTGCTCCCTCCTCGTCTAAATTGCATTCCATCTTTTCTTTCTGCGTTTAAAGCTGTTAAAAGCCTCCGTTCATAATTCATACAGAGATATTGTGAGACGCTTTATTCCTTAGAGATTCATGACCACAATAAGTGGCGGGCCTCAGGTGATGGATGTAATTATAGCTCAGTTTACAGTCACAGCTTTTTAATCCGCTGATGTTCAGTCGTTCCACGCTTGCAGACCTGAGATCAGCCGTCTGACGCTCGTATATCCTCTCTGACTGTGAAGGTTAATCGTATGGGTGTGAGGTCACTGCTCCACCTTCCTCTCTTCCTTCCTCTCCCTGGCTCTTCCTCTTCGTCCTTGCTCGCCCATATTCTTTCTACTTTCCCCCTCCCCCCTCTCTGTCCCCTCCATTACTCACCACGCCCGTGTTCACCCACCTCCCCCACAACATGAATATTTCCCTCCTCCTCTCTCCACAGGCGTGCTGTGGCTGTGCATCGTAGCAGAGTGCCTGTACATCCTCCTGCTGGCCACCGGGGGCATCCTCATGTCCATCGAGGTGTGTCACTTTGGGAACGTCATTGACGGCCTCAAGCTCAACGCCTTCGCCGCCATATTCACCGTGCTCTCAGGTCAGTAACGGCGTCATATCGGTGGTCTTTGCACTGAAGTAATGAATACTGTCGGTGGGCGCAGAAAATCAGCCTCTTCTCGAATTATAGTCTCAGTGATGTCATCATTGGTTTCTGAAAAGAACTTATGAAGCCCAACGATGGCGGTTACCGACTCTACTTTAAGAGGGCGAGCTGAGGCGGGGCTTACGCCTCCTGACAAACAGCTACAAAACATCCACCTGTCAGTCAACACAGCCCATCCAGAATTAAGCAAATGTATGCAAAATGAATACATAATTACAACATGGGACTCACTGGAGGAGACAGACTCTAGTGGACACTGGAGGAACTGCAGCTGTAAAGATGGACATTTTAACATGGGTCTCTTTGGGGACTGACTCACTGCAGGAGACAGACTCTAGTGGACACTGGAGGAACTGCAAGTATAAATATGTCCACACTGTAAAACGTGCTCTGGGTGATGTCAGGACATGTGTCAGACTGCAGTGTAAAGCGAAGTATGTTTAAGGCTTTTTTTTATAACAGTTAACTGCATGTTTATCGTAAAAACTGTGATAAAAGTTAATGTACCTGGCACTTATATATATTGCCTAATATTGATTGAAACATTACCTCACGCACATGAACACCGCCTCTTTATTGCACCAATCAAATTAGAAGTGGCATTTTCAATTAGAGCTAATCCCCTGAGGGCTCTAATGCAGGCGCTGAAAGGGTTTGTCCCTGCAGGAAATGACATCAATCATACTGTTTGTATCAGAAGCTGTCATTTTCAAACAAAAGGAAATTATAAGAAATTGCAGCCTTTTTGAGTCTTTGCTTCTGTTTGTTTTCTGGCGTTGGTCCAGTCTCTTCCTGAGGTCTGCAGCAGCCTCTCAGCGCTGAGAAGATTCCCGTCAGTGTCTCTCTCTCTCTCTCTCTCTCTCTCTCTCTCTCTCTCTCTCTCTCTCTCTCTCTCTCTCTCTCTCTCAGCGGACAACTTATCAATGACCTTCCCTCTAATCCACTCTGTGAAAACGATCTGACCACCACACTCAGGGCCGTGAATCAGCAGACAAAGATACTGCTGCACAGATAAAACTCACAGCTTCTTAAGATGACTCCACAGGTCAGGAGAAGGAAACAGAAAAGTGCCAGAACAGAAGATTTGTGCACCATCAGTCCTCGTCCAGGTGTAAAGTTAGTCTAGGGTGTTTGCAGTAAAGCTGCCTTCACACTAGAGAACAGCCATAACTCCAGGATGAGGAGAGTCAGTGTCAGAGAAAGTAAACACAAGCTCTCTCTGCGTTTGAAGCAGATGGAGAAGATAATTTATGCTCACCGTCTTTGAAATCGCTTTTCCTGTTCTCCAGGATGTTCTTCTCCTCTCTTTAGTTCAGATTGTGATTCTGTTCAACTACACGTAGCATTGATAGAAAGACACATATTCTCATTATAGAGTCGTATAGAGGACTCTGTTGCTTCGTACGACACTTCCACATAGTTTTTTTTTTACCTTACCTCAGGAGTGCAGATATGAAAACAGCTTTAGAAGACGTCTCTCTCTTTTCATGGTCTTTCTATGGCGGCAGAGTTTCTCTGGTGACTCAGGATCAGAAGCTCAGACGAATAAAGTCGAACAGAATCTTCCAGGTTCAAGCCTCATAAATGATTGATGATATTTGATTGTTAAGGATTATATTTAATACATTAGCTTTGTTGTACACCTAACGTTAGCATCCTAATTTAACATTTAGCATGAAGTCACAGTTAGCATCGGTTTGTTAACTAAAGTCAAAATGATCTCTGAAGTTGTGCTATGACAAAAGGTGAAGCAATCGTTTTCTATCAGTACACTAAAGTACAAGGTCAGGGCGGAGTTATGAACATGCAGAATGTGATGATTGGTGTAGAACTGAACAAAAGAAAAACCCCTGATCTGTAAACTAACTTCAGATATTTGTGTTGGAAACTTTTGTGACTCCGTTGACCATCATCGGGGGAAACTTTTCAGAATCTGGTGATGTTCAAACGTGTCCGAGCTGCAGGCTGCGTATTGATCAGCATCGTGTGAGAGACGGATTCATCCTCAGACTGAAACATTGATTTCAGACGGAGCTCCGATCAGCTGAGTGCTCTGTGATCCTGTTGGTTCATGATCAATGAGGAGCTCCGGATCTCATTGGCTAAAGTCCTCTAAGTGTTGTTGAACAAGCTCGCTGCCTCATTAGTGTCAGAGGTCATCCATCTCTTTATGTAGCATTAAGATTTAATGTTCCACTTCTCTAATATAAGGAAGCTATAATGTTCTTTAAAAAACAAAAAGAACCAATCACCGCTGTGGTGAAGCGAACACTGCGGCTGTGTTCAGACCAAACAAAACTTCAGCCAAGAAGAAATGTTCAAAATACAATGCAAATTACACAACGTCATGTATGAGTTCATTTTCAACAAGGAGGAGATCTTTGTGATGGAATTTACTGGAATTCTGTTTCTGATGAGGAGCAAACAGCAAACTGAATTCCTCCATAACGTTGCTTTAAGTGTGCAGAAATAAGACCTGCAGTAGATGAAGCTTTGAACAACTTTTCAGATATTTGTTTGTTCAATGGAGGTCGGATCGACTGATTCTGATGCATTCAGGGAAGTCAGGAAATCTAAACGCCGAGCAGATTTTAGAAGTTAAATCTTCAAATCTTCTAAATTTGCACATTTAGCGTCTCTGCGTCAAGTCTTTAGCACCCCCCCCTCGTACATTCACCATCTGTGAATTTGCATCTTTCCGTTGAATTTGTTGCGTATTAAAATACTACGCTGCTCATTTAAACCAATCCACTCGTCCATAACATCTCTTTCCCCAAACCTTACAGGACAATAAAAACTGCCACATATATTTATGTTTTTGTGCATATTTATAGCTGACAGGCGCGTTCATAGGTTCACGGCTTCAGAGTGTCACCACAGCGAGGGTGAGCTGACCATCTCGCGCTCACCGCGTCCCCCTCTTTTCTCTCCAAGTTGACAGCAGCTGAACCGGCTCGCTCGCTGCAGTTGACACTTTTCAAACCGGAGCCTCTCTGACTTATATTCTCGCTCTGGCTTCTCGCCCACTCTAACTTTTGAGTCGGACGGAAAGTGAACCCGTCAACCCGGCGTCTGCATGTCTCATGTTTTATTAATACGTGACTCGCTGTGTGTGAAAGCAGCGAGCTGAGCCCTGAAGAGTTCACTCACAGTGCAGTTTGTTTTATTTTTGTAGCATCTGTCTCGGCCTGGTGGCTTTTTAACAGCTCCCCGATCTCATCCCAAACTGAGCCAATAAAATGTTTGAATTAAAGACTGCATTAAGAAGTGGTTAATGGGCCGAAGAGACTCCGAGTGTTTATGGTCACGAGGTCCAGGGGAACAATCGCAGGACCAGATGAAACTTTATTAAAGCTGTCAGTCATCCGGGCTGTGTGCAGTGTGAGTTTATGATGATGGAAGAAAAATGACAGCGAATGAACGTCTCGCGTGGGTCATTAAATTCAGCGTTTAAAGAAGCTCTCGTGTCCGTCTGTTCTGCTCTGTTTCCATTTTGAAGATTAACCAACACCAGAGCATCGATTGACAGTTTTGATCTTCTGTCCCCTTCAAGATCCGAATGTTGAGCTATTTTCCTCTCTAGAGATTTGGTTAAAAGCTTTGGTTATAAATTGAGTAAATGCCAATTTCCACATGGTCCGTGCACGTCGCGGTTTTGCTCTGCCCTGCCCAACTGGGTCTGTTTGAGAGCGCAGCGATGAGCAGCTGTGGTCTCAGAGTCTGCACAACGGAGGACAACACAGAGGACATCACAGAGGACATCTACTACTTCTGGATTTCTCAGTTATGAAAGGCGGGGATCGATTATACGTCATGTCCACGTAACGTACATGTCCATCTGCTCGTACATCTGAACGTCTGAACCGATCCAAAGCACACCGCCTCTAACCGCGTCAGGTGCTGAGGACGTGTACCGTGCTTCAGCTCAATACGTTGCACTAACACCAATGAAACATGCTGGACTTTGGGGATGAAGCACGCTTGTGCACGGTGCCTAGTGTGAGTGTGCCCTTAGATTTTCTTCATGTGCACACACACACACACACACACACACAAACGCAGACACACACACACACACACACACACACACACACACACACACACACACACAGACACACACACACAGACAGACACACACACCTTCCCCCGCACTGACGATTCCTGCACCAAACTCAGAGTGGACAGTCTGAATGATTATCATGCAGGCTGCAGTCTGTAAACACTGGTGAACTGGACGTGCCTGCAGAGGCATGGGTGGGTGTATTTGTGTATCTGTGTGTGTGTGTGTGTGTGTGTGTGTGTGTGTGTGTGTGTGTGTGTGTGTGTGTGTGTGTGTGTGTGTGTGTGTGTGTGTGTGACCCTGATTACGAGCAGGTGTGCGCAGCCTACATATACTCTCGGGTTCCGGCGCTGTGTGCTGACTCATTGTCTCCATCACAGTGAGAGGTTCATTCAGTGTTTCCTTCAGTGTGTACAGTTCAGTTAGTTAGGGCGCGGTCACACGCGAACCTGTCTGCATCATTTGCTCACCGTTTTCGAGTTGTCTTCAGACTGTAGTTTGTCGATGTCGTGTGCTGGTGGCCATTGTGTTTTGGTTTAGTATAGGTTCCTCTAGCTCCGCCTCCCTGTGAGTTGAGTCCTCAGCTGCACAGCAGTGGTGGTTATATTCCCCTTTATCAGCATTATTTTCTGAAGAGAGCGAGTTTGTTTCATGGTTCTTCCTCTGAGGTAGCTTTGAAACAATAGCTCTGATCCTCAATACCACCCCCCCACCACACACACACACACACACTCATGATATGGACGTTATGAGACCACAATTATCCTGAGATATATCTGCTCACAGTGGGTCAAACCTTTTCACGACTTCCAGAATAACCTCAGCTGTAATTGGTGAACAGTAGCATCACAAATTATGGTGTGTGTGTGCGTGTGTGTGTGTGTGTGTGTGTGTGTGTGTGTGAGTGTGTGTGTGTGTGAGTGTGTGTGTGTGTGTGTGTGTGTGTGTGTGTGTGTGTATATTTCGTGACTCTGGATGAAGGGAGTCCCTGCTTTATTTAATCCTCAAACAGATTCAGAGTTATGTAAGAGCAGCATTCTGTTTCTTTATTTTGAACTGATTCAGCTAAAGGTTGACATGGAAACGGATCCAAAGATTTTCACTTTATTTTTATCTGACAGGTGTTACATTTCTAATGAAGCTGATTTGACAATATTGGGCACTTCATAGCTTTCAGGCACATGGCGGCGTGAACGCCTGGAGGTCAAAAAGAGTTTAGGAAAGTAGCGTCCAGCATTGAACACTCTGTGGAGCTGCAGCTTAATTTACCATCTCTTTCAAACGACGCATGTTTACAGTTAAAATGTGTTTTATTACATTATGGCTTTCTTAATGACCTGCTGTCGGGCTTCAGCAAAATACTATGGTTTCTGTTGCGATGATGAGATCATAAATGTTAAGAACATTGTGTCTCCTTCTTCCTGGATGTTTCTAAAGCCTCTGACACAGTTCACCACTCCGTTCTTAATAGCTAATGTAGGCTTCTGTCCAGTAGTTTGAAAATTATTTGAGTGGCAGTAAGCCATGTGTCCAAGTGACAGTCTGCCTTCTACTTTTTTAGATACCCAAAAGGTGTCCCACAAGGATCAATATTGGGTCCTATTTTGTTAATTATATCTATAATTTATGTTAAAATGTTATTGACGCAAATTTTTAATTTTTATGCTGACCATATTTATTATATTATATGTACTTTTTCGTCCTCCTTTGAGAGTGCATTAAACAATCTACAAGTTACATTTAGGTTAATGTTGTTCAGAGAAATCAGTTTCATTTTAAGGTCCACTCAGTAAAATGTGTAGTGAGTAAAATGATAAAGTGAGCTTACTATATGATCAGACATTAAGGAAACATGTTATGTTGAAGTGCTGGCTTCTCTGACAACAATGCAGCAGCCAGTATGTCCTCCTTCTAACTTTAGATTCTGCTCCTGAATGCTCTGGATTTGTTTGGACCAGAGAAGGTAGGCGGTTTTAAGGCACCCCCACATGGCCGTTTTGTACGCCCCTCGGTTTGCCAGATATGAGACCAGTTATCAGGTCAAACCAACAGGTGTTGTAGCGATGGAAGCGGGCAAGAGAACTGGTTCAGATAGAAGTGATTGTACCCGACCTAAAAAGCCTCTGCATGTTTCTAATAAGCTCCACGAGCAGAAACGAGCTCAAACTAGGATCAATATTGGAGATGCTTTTGAAAAATGTAGAGAGGTTAGAACGCAGAAAGGTTTAGAGACCGATGCAGAGCTGGATAAACACTGAAGCTTGCTGCCTCCTGTGTGATGAAGCTGAAGTGTTTGTAGAGTGTCTGTGATGATGCTCTGTGACTGTGTGAGGTGTTTGTCTCACGTAGGAACGCTCCAGATCTCCGATTTGTTCCGCTCGTCTGACACAAAGCCTCCTCAGATCTACATCTCATTATGCTAATGTTTGACTGCTGTGGAATAAACATGAGCGCTGACAGGATCAGATGGAGTTTAGGTGTTTGGATCGGCTCAGCTCGTGTTCGCTCCCAGGATTTCAGAGGCTTTGGTGTTAATCGGATTGGTCGGCTGCACACACACACACACACACACACACACACACACACACACACACACAACGCACACGCACACACACACACACACACACACACTCTGCCTTTTTTACAACATTAAAGATAGAAGGAGCTTCAGCTGACAAAATCTGACACTTCTCTGAATAAAAACGCAAAAAAACAGGTTTAAAATATATGAGGAGGAGTGTTCTTGACAAAACCTCAGAGCAGCTCTTATTGGACGAGTGGAACGACATTAATTAAAACATTTGGTGTTGTAAATTTCAGTCACACAAAAGAGAGTAATTCAAACTCCTGTCAGAGCATGACACAGGAGCTTCTCTGAATGTCAGATTATTTTATTGTTGTTTTTTTTGCCCTCAGAGGACTCAGAGGCTGTTCAAATGTTGGTTCAGACTAGTGTAATGTAACACTGCCACCCTGTGGTGAATGTAAAGCACTGCAGCAGTGTTTGTCTCAGAGGAGGATGTGATTATCTCTCAACCCTCCACACTCGCTCTGCTGCATGGCTGAGTGGCGCTCCCTTCATTAAAGGTGAACTTTAACCCTTCAATGCTGAAGAGGGTCAAAAATAAATCCACCACCGCCTTCAAACAATCCAAAACTCAGCAGCTTTTTGTTTAAAGGTTTATTTTTGGGCTTTATTTAGACACAGGACAGTGAATAGAGAGAGAAATCAGAGAGAGAGTGGGGAATGACATGCAGGAGAGGAGCCACAGGTCGGATTTTAACCCAGGCCGCCTGCTTGGAGGACTATGGTCTCCGTATATGGGTTGCATACACTAACTACCAGGCTACTGGCGTCCCCAGCAGCAGCAGCTCGGCTATTAATAAGAACAAACCAACATGATCTCATCACCCCGCTGTTGGCGTTTCTACACTGACTGTTCGCTGATTTTAGAACTGATTTTAGATTTTTTTTATTACTTATAAGACAAAACATGAGCCGACCTCTTCCTTTATCTCTGAGCTTTTATGAACCAGGACGCAGTTTGAGATCCTCTGGCAGAGCTCTCCAAGGTCCAAGCTGAGAACTAAAGGGGGACAGGTCCTGACCATCCAGACTGTGTAAAACTCACATTGCTCATTTTAAGGTATGGTAAGGTAAGGTGTGTGTGTGTGTGTGTGTTTCAGGTCTCCTGGGTATGGTGGCCCATATGATGTTCACCACGGCCTTCCAGTTGACCGTCAGTCTGGGTCCAGAGGACTGGAAACCTCAGAGCTGGGACTACAGCTGGTCCTACATGTGAGTATCTGATGAGCTGCAGAGAAAGCAAGAAGGCAGCGGAGATGACTGAATGTTTTTTTAATCCCTTATATCTCTTACATCCCAGCAGAACATAGTTTGCATTTGGCATCCAGGCTTCATCCCTCTTCACAGTTTTAATTTACATGAGAAGGACGAACCTTTAGTGAGTCGTACGTTAACACAGGAAGCTAAAAAAAGGGCACATTTTATACAAAATCCACTTCACCATGTTTCTCTAACACTAATATGTGTCCCTAGTCCGTCTACAAACCTTCCAATGATGAGAAAAGTCCATCCTCTCCGTCCTTTGCCTGCTCCACTTTTCAGAAAATGTATGCTCAAACAGGCCCTTCATGACATCACAAAAGGCAGTAACCCCTCCCCCAGGTGGGTGACACTCACACAGCTAGGTGTTTGTTCTGCCCTCTGAGTCTGCCTTCTCACCGTAAACAATAGGGCATGGAGCGAGAAAGCCTGAGACACCCAAACCCTTCCAGAGAGGGGGCGTGGTCGGACACAGCTCATTTACATTTAAAGGTACAGACACAGAAACAGCCTGTTCTGAGCAGGGCTGAAATAGAGGGGTTTATAGGCATGATCAAATACAGGATCAGAGTAGATTTAGAACAAGAAACTTCACACACATGTTTTTAAGAGCTCTGGGACTTATTTACACTGGTTGAGGGGAATATGTGACCTTTTCACTTTAACTTCATCAACAAAGAATAATTCCAAAAAGTTAAAGAAAACTGTTGCTTTGAATATAATGAAAACGTATCTGCAACCTTAAAAACATAACCTCAGACAAACAAGACACACAACATGTTTCTTTATTTAGATGTTAAAGGGTTGTCAAAAAGCAGGTTTGTAATTATTTCTTTGTTGTTATACAAGCGTTGTTATTCTGTCACACAATAATTATGACTAAAGCATGACTCATGTTCCTGTCAGCTTGTTTTCTGAATGCTCTAATTATCACATCATGTTCATGAGGGAGGGAGCTTGTTAATATGTCCGTGTTGTTCATGCATCAGCTGATTAACTGGTGAAGCTAAATTGCGTCTGTGTCTCCTTCCTGCAGTTTGGCATGGAGCTCCTTCACGGCCTGCATGGCGTCCTCGGTCACCACCATCAACCGCTACACCAAAACCATCCTGGAGTTCAAGCACAAGCGCAGGAACATCGAGAAGAACCTAAAGATCAAACAGAAGCTTCTGGAGCTGGACTCACCTGAGCAGGTGTGGGACATGTACATCAGCTCTGTGCCGAGCACCGCCGAGGAGCTGCTCGACCTGTCGTCCAACGGCCGAAAACTCTCCAACACCTCCATCTTCTTAGACCTCAACGACCTGCCCGATGCGCAGGGGGAGGAGTACTGCTAGAGGAACAGCCTGGTTAAACATTGGCAGGTGTAAACATCTTCAGGTGTAAACATCAGTGGGTCATTGTCAGGTTCAATGTGAGACGATTATGTAACTCCTGTAAACAACATGAGACCACGGCTGAGAGAAGGTTATTTAAAATAGCTAAACATTAGTTAGTGTGTCATTAGTAAATAAATCAATGTAAACTCCATCCCATTAATATGATCCTGATTTCTGCAGCTTGATGATCCAGTAGATGTCATTATTGAGCACCAGCATGAAACCAAAACAAACTGCAGTTTGGCCACACCTCCTCCATAGTCAAGTGCAAGCGGCGACAAAATCATCCTCTTCTCGAGCTGCAATCATCTGTGTCCTGCGTTGTTGTGTTAGCATGCTAATGTTAGCGCTCTTTAGTTAGCTCGTAGCTTCACACTGCATTTTAATTAACACAGAATGATCGTGATCTAAAAACTCTTACTAACATTCAAATAATCAGTGAGTACGTTCTTCTTCTTTTCTCTAGTCCTTGACTAAAACAGCGTTTATACACAAGGGGAGGAGCCGGCCGTCCCGTCCATGTAAACACCGCTCTGACAACAACACAGCCAGCGAGACTCGAGCTTCTCACTCATTGTAGACAGTCATGACTCTGACAGACATTTACAGGATATACTGGATTTATGATATATTTATGAGTAACATGCTGCACATTCTTCCTTTAATGAACATCGCGTCCTCTGTTTCTTAAAGGTCTCAGTTATTTACAGGAACTGTTATTCAAGTCTCAGAATTTAAATGATGATGACGTGCTGATGCGCTAACGTCTCATGTAGCCCCTTTAAGGACCAGCGCGCCCTGGAGCTCAGCACATCCACCCTACAGGTGTGTTAACCTTACCTCTGTACACGCAGTGTGTTTATGAAGAGTCACTGCTGTAACTGTTGGAGACACCAGGAGGACAAGTCTCCAACAGTGAACACTTCATCCTGAACAGTCGTCTGAATCGAGGAGTCGTCACGTGCTCCATCGCTATGTCGAGGACGACGTGCAGAGCGGTTAAAGCTGTGACGGATCAGTGATGACGAGCTCCTTTTATTGGTACACTTCCTGTTTATTGATGTGATGAACATGTGACCCACACAGCATCAAGTAGCTTCAGTGCAGTATTTAAAACTGAGAAAGAAGGGCGGGGCTCCAGACTGGAAGAGGAGATCTTCTGGGGGAGGATTTGGTTCACGTGTGTGTTTAACTTGTAGAAAGTGAAGTCAAAGTGAAGTCACATAAGACTCGATTAGTAGCTCTTGGTCTGTATATTTCTATATTTTAACGAGGGCTGTTGGCAAAGTTAATCACGATTAATTAAGGTCTGAAATTAACTCATTCATTGTTTTTTTAATCTCAAGTTATTTTGTCCCTTCATGACCTAACCTTCCATCTACAGTAAGGGCCTTACTGTATTTCAAAATAAAAGCAGTACCCATTTTAAACACTAGGTGTCAGAGTTACATACTGCTCCTTTACATTTTGATTTTCAGCCTTAAAAGTGTTTTAAATACTAAATATTAATAAATGAGGTCATGTTTTTTTCTCGTTGGTTTTCCCTTCAGGTCTTTATGTTAATGTTTGCATGTCACTAAACTTAATAATAAGATGAAACTTTATTTTTAACTCAAGCAAACTGCTGAGGAACTTACTAACTCAAATTCAGATGTGCAAAATAAAGAGACAGAACAGTCTTGTACTCCTGCATGGTGGAGAATAAAGCGAGTCTGGAGCCCTGAGGAGGTTAAACTGGAGACTGTAGCTCCGCCCACACAGGTACACACATGTGTAATGTCAGGTGGAGGTGTGTGTAGGCCTGCTGAGTGCCTTTCCTTCGAGCAGCATGCCTCTCTGATCACACAGCCCGCTGTGCAGACTGCCAAACTCACCGGAGATCTGAGCGCGCTCAGTAGAGCTCTCTGCGTCATCCTCTTGATCAACAGGAACTTTTCTTATGAACGCGTGAACTGTTGTGATGGATAGCGGCGAGCAGGATTGTAAAGTGCATTTTAAATGTATAAAAACAGATTTGTGTATTTATTTATGAAGTGAGATGTGTTTAAGTCAAAGATTTATTCAGGTTTTATTTCTTTTTATCTTCTCTGGGTTGTGATTTCTCATGCAGCATGGACGGTTGTGAGTTTTTTGTGTATTATTATTTGCAATCTAACATATTGATATATTTATGAATTTTTACGAGAAGACAAAGGTGAAGAGGAGAGGAGGTTATAATAAAGATGTTTCTTGTTTTTACCTGCTGTTCTTCTTATTGTCCACCAGATGGCGCCACCTTCTAACTCTTACATCAGTTAATAAATGTGTGGCGTCTCTAAACAGGAACTGAATCTGTTCTTCATATAAACAGAGTCACGTCTGTAGATAAGTCATGTGCTCTGATACATTTTACTTTTTTGAATTGTAAAAAAAACTTTAAAAACAATAAATCAAACTGACCTAAACTACAACCAATCAGGATGCTGCTATTGTTTTTGTTTAGTTTTTCTGCCGTGTCGCTGAAGCTAGAGTTGTAGTCAAGACCGGACTAACAAGACCAAAACACACCCGAGACAGAGACAAGACCAAGACATTTAGGGATCAAGACCAAGGCAGGACGAGACAGAAACTAAACCAAGACCATAAATATCTCTGATAAATCATCATCTCGTGTTTAGGGGGCGTGTCACTCACTTTAAAACCCGGAGTCCACCCAGTCTGAGACGAGACTGAGACCTTTAAAAAGCCTTGAGGCTAAGACCAATTTCAACCTGAAATATTCTTTATAAATACATTTTTCTTGTCTTACTTTTCTTGTATTTTAGAAATCCGCACAGCTCTTAATTACTGAAACTGATTTTTTTAAATTTAAGCTGACACGAGTGGTTTAAATACGACAGGTCAGGTTTTGATTTACCGAGCGTACAGCCAGCACTTACACGTACAGCCAGGTAGACAAGAGGCCTTACGGAGCCTGTTCTAAAATCTGTCCGTGCAGGGACTACAGGTGATAACGAGCCTTTTGACATATTTACAGAAATGTTGATTTGTAGTTTTATATTTGGTAATTTTCTCTCCTTTGTTTGTTTCCCTGTTGTGTATTTATTTTATTTAATGAGTTTATTCTTTATTGTAGAATCGTTTTATATTGTAGTTCTTGTCTGCAGTGTTTCTGGTCTTACTTCCTCCCTTTGTCTGGTTTCCCTCCATTTATCGCCCTGATTGTCTTCACCTGTGTCTTTAGTCTCACCTGTGTTGTTAGTCTCAGTGTTCCTTCTTGTTGTTGTCAGTTCATTCGTCTTAGTAGAGGCTGCTGTGTAAAGAGTCTGTCAGTATTATTCCATCCATTAAGACACATTCATATGCCGCCGCTGAAGCAGTGGGAGCAACATGGGGTTAAGTGTCTTGCCCAAAGACACATTGGACTTGTTGCTGCAGGAGCTGGGGATCAAACCCCAGACCTGCCAAAAGACGACCGACTCTACCACTAAGCCACAGCCGCCCCATTGGCTCTCTGAGGTACGTTTCTTTCCTATAAGTGTTTTTTTGGGGGGGATTTCTGTCTTTAAAGAAGTTTTCTTGTTTCTTCACTACATGACACTCTGTCCCTGTTAAATAAACCCATACATAACATAAACATAATCATTTCTCCCAGTAATAAATAAGTTGTTCATGTCAATATTTATGTAACTATTAAAGCGATATTATGCTTTTATAAGGACTCAGCAGCTGGAGTTGAAACGTGAACATTATATATCTAAGTAACTGAGTTGAATTCTGGGGGGCAGTATCTCAGTCGGTTCGGTAACCAGAGGGTCGCTGGTGCGGACCAAATCTGGTAAATTGGTCTGGTAGCTAAAGAGGTGCCAGGTCACTTCCTGAACACTGCCTAGGTGCCTCTGAGCAAGGCACTGACCCTCCCCAGCAGCTCAGGAGCACTCACTGTGGGCCCCCCCCCCCCCCATCCTGACATCTCTCCATCAGTCCACAGGATCCTGTTTGTTCATGTGTGTGTGTTTCAGCCTCTGTGTGTGCAGCATGTTCAATAACAGAGTGTAAAAAGTGAATTTCCCCTCGCAGGATTAATAAAGTATTTCTTCTTCTTCTAATCAGAAGTCAATGATTCATTGTTTTCAGGTCCCAGATATCTACAATCAAATATTGTTATCAGATTTATCATTTTGAATATGGAGAATTTTGTTGTTTATACTCTTAATAAATATTTGTCATATTAAATCTGCTTTATATTGAAACGGGTCCGAAAGCTTTAGTAGATATTATGATGACAGATTAAATGTTAAAGACCCGTTGTCAGCCTTACATCTCTGACATGAACGGATTTAATGCTGCAAAGTAATCAAACTAATGTGACCTGCAATCTCATCAACATGACTCTAAACCGTACAGCTTTACATCAAACTACGGCAAACCAAGAGGGACAAAAGAGAGAAAAGTGCTTGAAAATAGTTACATTTTTATGCTTTCAAACTAGTGCAAATACATGCAAACTGAAAGAGACCACCCTGTAGACGCTCAGAGAAGCGGCCTGTGATTGGTCGACCTCCTCTCGCCGATCTCGCCTGCTGCTGTCCTGGTGGTTGGCGTCTCTGCAGGTACAGCAGGTGATTCTGCGGCCGGGTGCTGAGCTGAAGCTCACGTCACGCTGCGATGTGTCAGAGATCGGCAGCACATCCATCTCTTCACATTCATTATTCAGGAATACAAAAAGCCCTCAGTCAGAACTGAGCTTGTACACACATTCTGTCATTAAACATTCATCCTCCTTTTATCCTGAGCCACGTTGCGGGGGCGAGTCTCATCCTGAGCCACGCTGCGGGGGCGAGTCTCATTCTGAGCCACGCTGCGGGGTGAGTCTCATCCTGAGCCACGGTGCTGGGCTACGGGGCGAGTCTCATCCTGAGCCACGCTGCGGGGCGAGTCTCATTCTGAGCCACGCTGCGGGGTGAGTCTCATCCTGAGCCACGCTGCGGGGCGAGTCTCATCCTGAGCCACGCTGCTGGGCTACGGGGCGAGTCTCATCCTGAGCCACGCTGCTGGGCTACGGGGCGAGTCTCATCCTGAGCCACGCTGCGGGGCGAGTCTCATTCTGAGCCACGCTGCAGGAGGAGTCTCATTCTGAGCGACGTACCACGACGCTGCAGGGCGTATCTCCACATGTCTGCATCGATTGCCCTTCAATATTTAGAACAAACAGGTGGGAAAATAAAATACAGAAATATTCAGTGTGAAAGAGTGAAAAATGAATCTGCTCTGGGTTCAGACTACAGCTACAGTATCAGGGTTTAACTGCAGAGACACTAAATCTACACTGTGTTTGACTTTTTTCAGCCATAACCTTTAAAAAGCGTCACCTCTTATACGGAACGTCTGGTGATAAATGACACAGCTGGTGTAAAACAAAACATGTGTATTAAGGTGATGATGAGAGGAGGATGTATTGACCCTCATGAAGAAGTCTCTGAGGCGCCCTCTGCTGGTCAGGAGCAGAACACCGGCTCTGTTCACCGAGTCTTTGTATCTGTATTGTGTCTTCTGTTTCTGCACATTAAAAGTGTCACTGCCAGCCAAAGTCCTGCCCGGCCAGCTGGTAGAAGCGCTGGTTGTGCGGTTTGTAGAAGTCTCTCAGTCTCTGCAGCACACGGGGGTTGATGACGGCGTGCATGCGGCCCTTGGTCTTGCCCAGGCAGTGAGGTTTGCTGCTGCCCTCTGGCTTCTTCAGGCAGGGGAATCCTTTCGTCTTGTTGAAGTAGAAGTGTTTGTCCGTCACGATCCTTTGCAGACCCAGGAAGTCCTGCACCCGGCCCAGCTCCCCGGCCGGGTCCGAGATGAGCCGCTCACCGCTCACCAGGTGGATCTGAGTCCTGGGGAACCAGGCCAGCCAGCGCTCCAGGTGCTGAGCGTATAGACCGATCCACAGAGGGCTCCACAGAGAGTCGATCTGACCTGCAGGAAACACGGAGGGATACAGAGGTTCAGAGGCAACATCACCTCAAATCCTGATTGGAGTTTATAAGGCAGGGTTGGTCATTTCCGAAAACTAGCATGATTATGAAAGTAGCATTCCCTCAGTGCTCCGTCTGCACCCGCCCCCCTCCCCTCTGTGCTCCCTCAAAAGCCACGCCCCCTCACTTACATGCACAAGCACCGTTGGTATAGAAGCGGGCCACAGCTCACGCTTTGACTGTGCTCGTGCACGCAAGAGGTAGAGAGCGAGCAGGGAGACAGGGAGGCGTGTGATTGGTTCATCAGATTGGTACCTCGTGGCAGACATTGGTTGAAGTTTTTACAGGCTAACAACTGATACAGATGAAGGATTTTCTTTGTTCCTTTTTCAGAGAACATGAGTTATTAATTTCTGTCAGGACCTAAAGGCAATTTCAACCAGAATCTTAAAAAGTCGATCTGGAGGAAATTACCAACTCTGCCTTTACTGGTGGTAATCTGAACTCTCGGTCCGACTCAGCGACACACTGAGTCTCCTTTCCCGTGCACCTGGACCTTTGAGATCTCCGTCTGTCTGAATCTAAAACGTGAACTTTCCTGTCTGTAGGTTTGTTGTTGTTTTTTGCTTTAACTTGCTCGTGCACAGAAGAGAGAGAATAAAGTTTGAAGGATGGATTTATAATAAATCTCTTTATTCGTTAAATGTTTCCATCTGTAGAGAAACGTCTGTATCGTCATTCTCACAAGTCAGCTGACCTGAAAGCTCACACCTCACGTTACCTTACCTGTGCTTTTGTTCTTGAAGGCGAGGCTCTCAAACGGGGGGATGTCGGGGGTCTTGGAGATGATCTGGGTGTAGTCAGAGATGGCTCTGGTCACGGGATCGCGGACGACCACGATCAGCTTCACGTCCTGAGACATGGCGTGGACTCGAGCCGGTGTTTCCACGGTGACAAAGTAACGAGGCGTCTTCTCCATGACGATCTGACCGTCCAGAGCTTTGGGCATCATACTCCTGAAAACACAGAAGACATGTGATTGAAAGACATAAGACGGGAACATTATTATTATTATTTTTTTAATGTTTGGTGTCAGACACCGGGGGACGATTATTTATTTATTTATTTATTTATTTATTGTCCCTGAGTCTTAGAAAGATGCTCTCTAACACGGTTCTCCATCAGTCACACTGACAGACATCAGTGAGTAAAAACACACAGAGATCATACTCACTACTGTGTGCATACAGACACACACAACAGTCTCTCTCTCTCTGCTCACCTCCACCTGCCTCACACAGACGGCCGCCAGCTTGGACTCGTTTACCTCTAAACGAGTCCCACAGGACCAGACGGGACATCTGCCAACGCACCTGACCGTCTCACCAAACACACACACACACACACACACACACACACACACACACACACACACTGAATCAGCACCTCGTCTTGTTTAAATGGAGCTTGGACGACTCAGGTGAGTTTATAACATTTGTCATGTAAACTGTTCTCACCTGTTTTGACTGTTTTAGCTCTAAACATGTATTCACCTTTTCAGGTATTTTTTAGTTTCTATTTATTTTTTAATTGTTTTTAAAGACGGAGTCAGCAGCTTGTGCTCCATCGTCCCTTCTGGGTCTCCATACATGTGTGATGGTGACTGTGTCTGCAGAGACTCTGTCCTCTCACTGGATTTTAGTGTTCTGCTTTGTTCTGGTTGACTCGGGACATTTGTTGGCGGAGATGGCATGTTTCCTCCAGCCAATGACAGCGCAGCAGGTGAGTTTAGGAGTGGATACAATTCAGTGATTTGACGCGATTCAAACCGGAGAAATATGACGCACGTGGATCCAGGATCAATATTGGAGATGCTTTTAAAAAATGGAGAGAGGTTAAAACGCAGAAAGGTTTACAGACCGATGCAGAGCTGGATAAACACTGAAGCTTCAGTGTCCACCACATGGCAACCTGTGTGAGCATCAACTCTAGAGAGATTTTTTTTTTTTTTTTTCGGAATGAAACACAAATCGAGTCAAAGCATTTTCTAAATGAGACGATAACAAACTGAGAGGACAGGATGCTCTGATCCTCCATCAGCTCAGGTTTCACATTCTCCTGCAACATGACCTCCTGTCGATACACACACTGCACACACACATCCAGCCCCACCTTCATGAACCTGACACGCACACACACACACATACACACACACACGCAGATAGTGATTCATTTGATCTGATGGTTAGAGATGCAGAGCCTACCACCACTTAGCCTGAAGACTTCCCTTTTAACTCCAAAACCCTGAGCAAGAGGAGCCGCGCTGTCTGATACGCACACACACACACACACACACACACACACACACACACACACAAGCAGGAGGCACGTGCACATGAGTCCATGACACACACACACACTGCAAAAACATAGACAAACAATTATTGTTCTCTCATTAGCAAAACAATTTCGGCATGACTCGGGCCTCTCAATGGACCAATCATTCACGCTACAACACACACACATTAACACACACAACAACACACGTTAACACACATACATGCACACAGCTACACAACAACACACACAAACACACACAACACAAAATGCACAGATGCTCGTACACGAGTGGGTGTGGTGGAGTTTTAGCCGAACCTTTGAAAGCTTTATTGAGTGAGCTCATCCTCTGAGTTTGTGTGTGTGTGTGTGTGTGTGTAGGTGTGTGTGTGCATGCATGTCAGAGTGCTTTAAATGGTGGCGGAGGGTGAACAGATGAAGAAACGATGCTAGTGGATACAAATGTTCTTCCATTAGTGATCAGAGCAGCACACACACACACACACACACACACACACACACACACACACACACACAGATCCTCAGAGCCTCTTTAAATAAATCTGTCATTCATGTGATTCTGATTTCATCTATCTAACAGACAGATAAAATAAATGTTCTCTGACTTGGTGATACCCGGGTTAATATTCTCTCTCCAAACCTCGGAAACACAGCTTCAACATCTGACAGACACCGCTATAATGTCAGTTTAACATATGCCCCCCCCCCCCCTGGCTCCGGTCTGAGGGTCCCTGACTTTTTTTTGCCCCTGTCATGTAGGTCCGCTCCGTCATGTATCCATGGGGAGGCCTGTGAGGGATCTAGATTGTTGTAGTTCTAGTTGTATAGTTGTAACTTCTCCTCCAGCCTGGTGACAGTGTCTGCTCGGGGGAGGGGGGGGGGGGGCTGGCTCATCACTGGCAGGTGAACAGAGCCGGCTGGTGTCACCATGTGTTTCTGAGAACAACCCCCCACCCCCACCCCATAAAAGATGGCTCAATTAATTGGCAGTTTAAAGTGTGTTTTACCAACATCCGTACGATGCTCGTTTGCTGCTGAGAGTGAAGATCAAACATCCAGAGAGACCAACACGGGATTATCACAGATTATAATAAGCCTCTGTTTCCTCCGAGGAGCCTCCTTTTGTCCAACAGCCCCCACTCATTCAGCCCCCCCCCCCCCCGGACAAACACGGGCCAGCCAAGGCCACCGGCTATTGATCCGGAGGGTGCTCAGGGTGAGTGTGTGTGTGTGTGGGGGGGGGTGGAGAGGGGGGTGTACGGCTGGGGACAGAACCGATGGTGTGTGAGTGTGTGTATGAAGCAGGAGAGTGTGTGTGTGTGTGTGTGTGTGTGTGTGTGTGTGTGTGTGTGTGTGTGAAGCAGGAGTGTGTGCGCGAAGCTGGAGTGTGGGTGTGTTTGGATTAAGTAGGAGTGTGTCTGTGTTTGTGTGTATGAAGCAGGGGTGTGTGTTGTAAATGACGGAGGATGGTAACACAGCTCTGAGCCTCAGCTGGGAGGAGGAGGAGAGGCAGGTGGAGGCTGGGGGAGCCTCTGGAGCCCCATCCGGAGCATGCTGTGTCTGTGCGTGCGTGTGTGTGTGTGTGTGTGTGTGTGTGTGTGTGTGTGTGTGTGTGTGTGTGTGTGTGTTTACAAATGTGAAACAATTGCAAATATGCGGAGAAGGAGGATTTGATCAAAGCTGTAAAATCTGCTGTTTGTCTTTGAAGTTTGGTCCAAATAGGAGACAAAAATCCTCCTGTCAGACACACCTGAGTGCTGTGTGTGTGTGTGTGTGTGTGTGTGTGTGTGTGTGTGTGTGTGTGTGTGTGTGTGTGTGTGTGTGTGTGTGTGTGTGTGTGTGTGTGTGTGTGTGCGTGCATGAGTGTGTTATTGGGGACCATTAATGGGTTGGTGCATTGTGGCTGTGCTCTGTCCACTTCCAGGAGACATCCATCATAGAGGGGCCCCGGACACACACCCCCCCCCCCCCACCCCACCCGTGCTCCACACAAACACTACACACACATGCACGCACACACATGCACACACATGCACACACACACCTCCCCCTCCAACGCCCCAGGGGAGGGCCTTAATGAGAGCCAGATCGCCCCGCCCGTCTTGGCCTTATGGTGATCACCTTCAGTACAGTTCTGACAGGGGGGACCACACCTGAACCCCAGCTACAAACACACACACACACACACACACACACACATACTCTCTCTCGCACACACAGAAATCAAATCTGTCCTTTAGGCTTTGATTCAGTCACATTTCTGTGTGTGGTTCTGCAGAATAAAAGAAGCTCTCAGCGTCTCTTTTGATTGTTGTTTACTTTAGTTGTGTATTTTTTAGATGTCTTGTGTCGTCTCTTTGTGGTGGTTCTTGTATCTGTTTCAGTTTATCATTAATTTTTTATAGCAATCATTGGGTCTCTCTTAGAGCATTCACACCTGCAGAAAAACATCCAGAAGTGTTCGTGCTGAATGTTTCTCTCTTCAGCCGGAGTTTCTCCTGCAGCCTCCTCGTATTTATTCTGCAGAAAGTCAGAGTGAGCTGATGTGAGAATGCAGCAGGATATAATCAGGAGAATTCACCTGGAGCGAGTGGGAGGGGGTGGTGACGTTTATTCCCTGTGATCGCTGCACGACCATAGACTGTCTGCACGCCACCTCTACCATCTCCGTGCTCTAATGAACCTGCTGCATTATGTTTCCTGTTCTCCAGTATGTTCTTCTCCACTCTTTAGTTCACATTGAGATTCTGTTCAACTACACGTAGCATTGATAGAAACACACATATTGTTATTATAGCGTCGAAGAGGACTCTGATGCTTCGTCCGCTTCTTCCAGGTCACGTCTTACCTTAGATTTTCTCTTGCATCTTTTTTTCCTTCTCAGTCATTGTTCCTCCATACAACCATTTCTTACACTTTTCATTCTCTCTCTTTTTAGAGTCTTCATGTGTCTCCTAGAAGAATTTAATTTTTGTCCTTTTGTGTGTTTTTGCATAATCCTTGTTGCCGTTTTTTTGCCTACTTCCTGTTCAGCACGCGGAGTGGACAAACGACATTAAAACCCGGTTCAAACACATCAAACAAAACTCAATGAAATCTGTTTTAGCTTTAAATAATCCACACTGCTGCATGATGTTCTGCATTGCAAAACACTGAAACATTTCAAAAACACTCAGAAATCTTAAATATTTGAATCCTGCAGATGAACAATCCAATCCATCAGAGAATCTGCCTCTCCGTGTTCGCCGCTCATTCCCGCCCACTGAATCCTGCTCAACATCCAACGTTTTGGCAGCCATTCTTCTGTGATTTGCATGGCAATTATATTCCATTGTCCAAACACACAAACACAAGTCGCACCATGTGATGTGTCATGGTGCCACAAAGGCTCCAATGCATTGGTATGAATTGAAAATCCGCCCTTAACGAGGTCACTTTGAATTGCAAATGAGTCGACGCCGTCGGAGCAGACGAGTCTGAACAGAAGGTTTCAGACGATCATCTCGTTACTCACCGACTGACAGCTTGAAGGTTCTTAAAGAAGAAAGACGCTTTGACGAATCCAGGCGTAACAAACTCTCAAAGCTCCACAAGAACACAGAAATCTGAACAAAGCATAGATAACAACAAACAAACAAATAACGGATTTGGAGCGGAT